AGCAGGACAACACAGATCCCCTAGCTTGCCAGTAGCTGTTTGAGCAATATCTCTCCACCCAGAGAGAGGTCTCCTTGCTGTGGGTGAGGACCATTTGGCCTCAATGCTGTCCTGGACACCAGTTCAGCCTCTCTGAGCTGCCAGGCAGGAGGTGGCTGGATACTTTGCACTAGTGACCAAAGCATTGCCAGCTCGTTGAGGTGCTTGAGTCCTGTTGTAGTGGGTGTCAGGGGGACCCGGGAGGGCCAGGAGAGCATGGCTGAGGTGGGCACAGCAGCAGTGCTGCCAGCTCTGCTGGGAGGCTGAAAGGGCTTCTTGTTCCCACAGCTCTCCTGGCCCTCCTCTTTGACCTGAAAGCCCTGGTTGACATGATGTCCATCGGCACGCTGCTGGCCTACTCGCTGGTGGCTGGCTGTGTGCTGCTGCTTAGGTGGGACTGCTGGGGACAGGAGGCAGGGCTCACCCAGCTTCTGATGTTGGCTATGCCTGGGACAAGGCACTGGCCTTGGTGCGCTGCAGGTGCACACACATGTGCCTTGATGTCCAATATCTGCTCCTCAGGTACCGGCCTGGACCCAGCGCTCAGGACACTCCTGTGGGGAAGGTCCCAGTTGTGCAGCTCTGGTGGGACCATCTTGTCTGGCCGCCCCTGCATCCTACCCCACATTCTTCTGCCGTGGTGGCCTGGGCTCTGACAGCTGTAGGTACGCCCAGGACTGATGGATGGGCTTTATGGGGTGCCTGCTTGGGGGGACCTGCTGGGGACATTGCTGCTGTAGCATGGGCTGGCAGGTTCCTGCTTGCTGAAAACCACCCGGCAGCGGGATGCAGGCAGGGCCTGCCTGGCTCCCTCCTGCCCTCTCCTGACTGCTGCACAGCTGGCTGCCCCAACAGCACCCAGGGAAACCTCTTGCTCCCTCCGCTTCCCAGGCTGGCTGGAGAGAAAAGCTAAACCCACCATGACAACCACCCAGCCCTGTCTCCTGGTTGTCCTTTGTCCCTCCCACCATGGCAGCCTTGGGTGCTGCACCCCGGGAGAGGGATGGGCTCAGCCCAGGGAAGCGCTGCCCTGATGCGCTGCTGTGGTCCCTCCGCAGCCGCCCTGGTCTGCGCCGTGAGCTGGGTGAGCACCGCGGGGCTGCCCTGTCTCCGGGCCGGGGGTGCCTGGTGCATCGCTGCCCTGGCTCTGCCTCTCCTGGGGATCCTGGCAGCAGCTCTGCTCATCCGGAGGCAGCCTCAGAGCCAGGAGAGAGCATCCTTCATGGTGAGCACACAGCCTGGCTCTTGGGGACTGTCCCCAGGGAGAAGGACATGGGGGATGGAGAGGAGGCAAGTGCCACAGCCCCATGGGGAGAGGGTTACGCTGCATCGGGGGGGTGTTCCCTCTGCTTCAGGTCAGGCAGACCTTTGCTGCATCCATGTTGAACAAAGCACTGTTGCAGCCATCGGGCAGCTCATGGGGTTTTACGTAGGGACTGTGAGGGCTGCCTGGTTCTTCCCACCATGTCTCGCAGGCCAAAGGGGCACCTCCTGCAGCCCCAACTGAGCCCACTGCCTGCTGCATGAATCAGAGCTGCTCTTCAGTAAAAAGAAACCTCCTCCTGACACCCTGGATAGGTTTTGCTAGTGGCTTACTGCCTCCCCCTTAAATCCTGCAGCACCTCCTGCCCTGGTGCAGGACCTGTCAACCAAACCACCCTCCGCAAGCATCCCTCTCCAGCACAGGCTGCAGTTCCAGCTCAGGTCTCCAAGCCTCACAGCTGGGCTGGGCTTCCACTTGCCTGTCGGCAACTAGCCAAAGCAGCAAAGAGCCCAAGTGAGCTGTGAAACCCCTGCTGTGCCTCTGGGAGAAGGCATGACCCTGTTGCCTTGGGCTTGGTCCCTGTAGGTTCCCTTCCTGCCCTTCCTGCCACTCCTCAGCATCACCATCAACAGCATCCTGATGGCCCGGCTCAGCGCGGCTGCCTGGCTGCGGTACCTGCTCTGGATGGCCATCGGTAAGCCCGGCCACCCTTGAGGTCCCGGAGCTGGCGGCAACCTCTTTGGGTGAAGCATAGGTGGTTTGAGAGCCCAAGGCATTAACGCTGGCTGCAGAGCGGTGGTGGGCGGCTGGAGGAGATGCTGAACTTTGACAAAGGGTGGTGGGAGCACCCCATCCTCTGATGGGTGGCCCAAACTGGGAATGTTGTGGCTGGGAGGGGAGGGCAGAGAGAGGACACCCCCCCTCCCTTCTGTCTGTTCCCAGGTTTCCTCATTTACTTTGGCTACGGGATCTGGCACAGCGCCGAGAGCCGTTGGCCCGAAGGGGCAGCCCCTCAGGAGCTGCTGAGAAGCACAGCCAGGGAGGTGGCCCCAGAGCCCTGTGGGACTGCACGGTGCCCCTCTGCTCCAGGGCAATAAAAGGAGACAGGCTGGTCCCTGAGCGCCTGGCTCCCTCCACCCTGTGCCTGGCGGGCAAAGAGGCCCCTTGGGCTGAAGGTCCCATCCTGCAGAGGGGCACAGCCCTGACACGGGCCCCAGGAGCTGTTTTCTCCCAGGTCTGGTGAACCTCCCTGAGTAACCCGAATCCTCACTGTGAGCCCCCTGCCGAAGTTTTGCTTGGAGAGGATAAAGCAGATGAGTGGTTTTGCTGCTGTGGGGTTTTTTTTTGCCCTTGAAACCTCCCTCTGTAGCCCCTCAACTCCCCCCTGGCCCCTCGCCCACCCTGGCCCCTCAGCCACTCATGGTGGAGTGGAAGATTCTCGTGCTGCCCTGATCCTCCACCTGCCTCGGCACCCTGAGGCAGGCAGGGCTGACCTGCCTGCCCCCCATGACTGCCAAGGTACTGCAGGGGCTGGGCTTTTTCCTCCTTACTGTGGACAAGTCGTTTTCTGGACTCATTTATTCTTCTTCCTCAGATCCCAGCACTCTCCTTTTGCAGAGCCAGGCACATTCCTCCAGGTCCCACGCAGGATCTGCCTTCAGAGCAGTGGGAACGTGGTACCAGGTGCCCAGAGCAGGATGCCAGAGCCCACCAGCCTCATCTCCCTGTGCCCCCTTCAACCACAGCTAGGCAGGATTTGCTGGGGCAGCAACCTTGCCCCATTTCCCCTGCTTTGGTGCTACAGCACCTGGCAGGTCCCCCCCCATCCCTGAGGGTGCTGTGCAAAGCCAGAGGCTGCCCCACCACCCGTCCCCAGAGCTGTAGGCATGCATGGAGAAGTGGGTGCCCTGGGGGGGACACTGCTCTGACACAACAGGCACCCCCGTTTCCCACTCTGGTGCTCAGGTGAGAGCCAGACCCTGCATCCCTGTTGCCTTCCTGGCTGCCTTGTTCAGCTGACATTTTCCCAATAAGGATCTGCACAAAGGATGGAAGCGGCCATTGCGGTGGCCCTGCTGGCTTGGGAGGATCAGGGTCTGCCCTGTCCTGGAAGCCCACTGAAATGAATGAAACAAGGGAAGGAGTGGGAAAAGGGAGACCGGCAGTGGGGACCTCCCTTGTTGTGGCTTCGTGGTGCCTGTGCCCACCCCTCCCCATTCTCCCCCTGCCCAAGGGGTGGAGCACATGGCCCTGCTGTGAAATGCTCCCACACCAGTCCCCAAAACCACAGACATGGGATTCTTGAGGCTGCTGCTTCTTACAGACTTGTAATTGTTACAGCCAGTAGCACATTGGCCTGGTGCGCACACAGACACACACGCATACACACACTGGCTAAACAGCCCCGGGGAGGGGACAGGCCAGTGACAGCCCCTGGAGCAGTGACCGTCCCACCACACTCGTGCACCCAGTGGAAAGTGCTTGCATGCATCTGGCCCTGAGCCATGGCCCCACAGCTGTGCTGGCAGCATCTTCCCCGATGGAGATGTGCTGGCTCGGAGCAGGGAGGGATGCTTGTGCTGGCAGCCACCGCTGAAGCCTGCTCCCCCTCGGGAGGATGCTCTGCTCCCCAAATGTGCACCTCTGGGCATGCAGCCTCTGCCCGGCTTTGAGGGAGAAGATGGGGCTGGTGGTGCTGCTGATGGGCATTGGGGACAAGGAGGGCTTGGCATCTGCGTGATGGTCAGTGGAAGCACACCTGGGTCACGGGAGCAATCCCTGGGAGCTGTTTGCTGAAGACTGAGGAGGTGATGGGGAGAGAAGAGCACGGGTGGGAGCCCTGCCTGGTCCCCCTCCCCAGGGAGCGAGGCAGGTCCTGGGCAGGGGAAGCCCTGCTTTCACTGGAAATGGTGGGAGTGGGTGGCATTGGCTTGGAGCAGCCTGAGCAGGAGGCTGAGCCCCAAAATGGGACAGGCTGGCATGGTTTATGGCAAGGGCAGCGCCGGAGGTGGTGGATATACCTGGCTGCACCCATCACTCCTGCCCTTTGCTGCTGCCCTGTGAAAGCCTCTGTGGCTCAGCCCTGGGCTTGGCCATGCACTTCCCAGGGAGTGAGGTACCTTAACACCACCATGTCCCCAGCGCCCTCCTCATCCCCCCAGTGCTTGTCCCCTTACCATTCCAGTGACCGCCTCGTCTTCCTCGCCTCCGTGCCCCCAGGCAGCACTGATGCTGGTTATGCTCAGAGCCAAGTGCTGGGTCGGATCCAGCCCAATGCACGTCTGCGTGTCCTGACTGACCCCTTTTACCCCCAGAAAGACCCCCACAGCCTCCCACCAGAGGAAGGGGTGCAGGGATGGCACAGAGGGGTGGCCGGTGATCCCTTGCAGCCCCACATGGGCTGGGAAAGGCAGGCACAAGTGTCTTATGAAATGCTCCATCGCCCTGCTCAGACAGGGCCACCCTGAGGGCTCAGCCGCCCCGAGGGCCTGCCCCAGCAGCAGGGGCACTTGTGAGAGCACCCCTGGGCTCACGCACCCGGAGGAAAGCCCTGACAGGCCCCCCGGCAGCGCGCGGTGCTGGTCAGCAGCGTGCTACGTGGCGATGAGGGGCACCTCGCCGGCAGCAATGGGGAAAGGGGAGCCGTCCCCCCCGTTGAGCACACGGTACAGCAGCTCCTCCTTCTCATGGCGAGCCTGCTCCCGCAGCTGCGCCTCCTTCTCCAGCGCCCCGCGGGCGGCCAGGAGCTCCTCCGACAGCTGCCTGTGGGCAAACAGCATGCGCTGCTGGAGTGCCCGTGACCCCCCTCTGCTCCCCACAAAGCACCCGGTGGCACCACAGGCTGTGATGTATTCCCCCCCCACTGCCACCTTTCCCCCCGTTGGAGATGCCACTTCCGACTGCTGTCACCCTGCCACCGTGCACCGGGCAGCTGGTGGATGCGTGGGACCAGCACCTACCTTGCCATGACCAAGTGGTTCTGGGTGCGAACCTGCAGGTCCTCGTTCTCCTGCTGGAGGGTCTTCACCTTCTCCTCCAGCAGAAGGTTCCTCTCCGCCTGCAAGAGGGGCATGAGGGGTAAGAAGAGAGCTGGAAAGCGTCCCTGACCTCCCTGCTGCCCCATCTGGGGGGAAAGGTGGCTCGGTGGGAGCATGGTGGCATTGCACCCACATCCCCTGCCCACTCTGAGGGAGGAGCCAGGCTCCATCCAGCTCCACTTCAGCTGCAATTTCTGGATGGGATTCAGGTGGGGAGAAGAGATGGAAAGAGGAAAGCCCATCTCCACTTTGAATGACGAAGTGCAGGCTCTCCAGCTCCTGCTCCCAGAAGGGGCTGGGGCTCCCGTGCTCCTGTGGGGCACAGCAGATGCGGCAGCTGCAGCAGGGTGGGCACTGGGGGCATCTGCCATGGTTCACCCCCCCACGCATGACCCCAGTGGGTCAGTGCTCTCAGCTGGGGCCCTGCATGGCCCAGGATGGGTTTGTACCCATAAGGCACCATGTTTCGCCCATCGCTTGTGTTCAAGGGACCCTAACAGCCCATGCACCTCCCAGGAATGGGGCTTTGCTCCCCCCTTCAGCTGTCCTGTGCCCCCCTGGCTCCAGCCCCTTGCTCTCAGGGTCTGTCAGAGAAGCACCCCTGGCTTTGGGCCAGCACACCGGAGCAGGTCCTCTCCCTGATACCCCTCTGCAGAGGCTGCCGGTCCCGTATCTCCCTGTACCTGGATGTGCTTCTTGTAGTCTGTGCTCAAAAGTGACTCCTCCACCCGCTGCATCCTCTCCTGGAAGGACTTCAGCTGGGAATTCAGTGCCTGGATCGTCTCCTGGGGCAGCCGGGGAAGAAATAGGATGGGAGGTGTCTGGGGTTTCTTCCTGAGCAGGGGCACTGCCAGGCTACTGCACTCCGATAACCCCAGGGCTGGAGGAGTCTGCGTGGTCCCCAGGCACAACAGGGACTGAGGTGGCCACTGAGGAGCTCAGGACACCATGGCAGAGCCAGCAGATGGTCCTCAAGCCCTTCATGAGCACCCTCTCCCCAGGTATTTCTCCACGGGTACCTGTAAGGCTGCCTGGGACCTGTGGTGGGACTCTGCCAGCAGCAGCTTCTCCTGCTCATGTGCTCTCTGGAGCTCTGTGGGGGGGATGTGAACTGAGCATCACCAGTGCGGGGACACTGGGGCAGCGAGCCCCACCTGAGCCCCACGATGCTGCGGAGCAAGGGGCAGCATCTCCACGACCCCACACGAAGCCAGAGGAGTGCTGGCAGTGGGGGGGAGCGGGTAGTGGGGCTGTGGGGAGCCCTGCTATCCTGGCACGCACCTTGCAGGGTCTCTGTGTGCTCCCTCCTCAGGGCATCAAACTGCTCCTCCAGCTCCAGGTCTTTTCCCTTTTCCACCTGGGAAGCAGAGAGACAACAAACCCTATGTGTCTGACTTGGCATAAGGGATGCTCTGGCCCTCCCTGCCCACACTGCTCCGGGCTTCCTAACCCCTTCCTAACACCTTCCTTCTCCCGAAAATGGGAGAGCCCAGCCCAGTGTGTGCCAGGTCAGTGATTGCTGCCTGGGAAGTCCTGGCTGGCCACACGCTCTCTGCCCGGCCGCTGCCCCCAGCAGCACCCGCCTTTTCGACCGACCTGGATGTTAACGCCCTGGGTGATTGTCGTGGTCCTTGCCCGGCCGGCATCCCGCAGCCGCTCCTCCTCCTCCTCCTGGCCTTGGAGGAGTCTCGTGCTCTCCGTCCGCTCCTCTTGCAGCACTGCCTTCTCCTTCCCGACCTCAGGCAACAGGGTGGCATTGGCTGCGATGCAAACACGGCTGAAACGGTGCTGGCCGCATCCTGCTAACCGGGCTGCTTGGATGTCCTGGGCAGCCGACCTGCCAGCGCGGTGGCCTGGGTACAGCCCCTGTCCTCTGGACAAAAAGCCTCTGTCCCACTGGACAAATACCCACCCCCCCCCATCTCACTGGTGCAAATTAGCACTAATCAGGATGGCTCTGGCAGGCTCAGAGAGGACATAGCTCATTAAGCCTCCTGCCCTGGGGACGACCTGTCTGCCTGAGAGGATGGGATGCCATCGGCTCTGGGATGCCATCATGTCTGCCTGCCTGCACCACTGCCATGTGGAGGCTGCAGCCATCATCCTCATCCTCCCCGGCCCCGGCGCAGGCCACCCGCCCTGGGGTCTGTCCTACTGCTTTCTTAATATCACACTGCGAAAGCACAGCGCAGGGGGAGACACACATTTTCTTCTCACCGTTCTCTGTCTTCAAGGCCGTGAGCTCCTGGGAAGCCGGTCCCTTCTGCTGCTGGGCTTTTAGCTGTCTCTGGCAGAGAGAGAGGGGGCTCGAGCAGGGGGGGACAAAGGCGGGCAGGTGGCTGCAGGCAGAGGACACCCTGCAGCCAGGCACCCTGCGCTGGGTGCGCTTCAGCCCTGCAAAAACACGGGTGCTCGAGCAGTGGTAGTCCCTCCCTGACCCCCTGCCAGCCCCGAGCACCTATGGGTGTGCATGTGCTGCCTGGCAGGCAGCCCCAAACTCGTGCCATTTCCCCGTGTCCTGGCCGCTTCACCATGCGGCATTGCCAGCCACCGGCTGGAAAACCAGGGGGATGCTCACCCCCCCCCCAACACAGTGCTGGTGCAAAATAGGCTCCAGCAGCAAAACATTTAGTGGGGGAGAGCAGGCAGCACCTGGCAGGGCTCCGGCTCTGGAGCTTCCTTGCCACCCTCCTCCTGCCCCGTCCCTGCTGCCCCGGGATGCTCAGGGTCAGCCTGGTCCTGGGCACCTTGCAGCACCCCAAACACACCCCTCTGCCGGTGCTTTACACAGCTGGCCTTTGACACAGCCCGTGCTGGAGCAGAAGTGAGAAATGAAAAATAACCATAAATCAGAGGCGATGCCGACCCTGTGCAGGGCTGGCAGCAGGCGAGGGCTGGCGGCGGCACAAGCAATGACCTCAGGAGCGCAGGAATGTGCTGCTCGGCCCCGCACGCTCCCGCACCCTCCCGCTGCTACCGCGGGGCTGATAGAACCCAGAGCTGGGAGCTGCCTTCAGCAACACAGCTCTATGGGATGCCTTCCAGCCCTGCATGGGTTTAATTTAGTCGCTTGGAGGGGAGGAGGAAAAAAAAAAAAAGAGATGGATATATTTTTATCTGTTGCTGAAAGATAGAAGCAAAGCTCGCCTGCTATCACAGCTCGGCCTCCCCGGTGCGGGGCAAATCTTGCCCCTGATGCCCATCACTGGGTCGTGCTTCTGGGCAGGGGTGCGGATGCACTGTGGGTGAGGGAATCCACCTGCAGACACGTTGCTGCTCTCCAGCTGCCGGCAAAGCCGCCCCAAAAAATACCAGTCCCTAACAAAACCAGCCCTGCAGCCTGTGGGGTGCTGGGGACCCCGCTGTGCCGGCTGCACCCCGGCTTGGCCCCACTGTCACAGCGGCGTAGCCAAATACAGATCAGACTAGGGAGCTTGGCTTGGGAAAAAAGCGAGGCAAAGCAAACAGGCGTCCCTGCCTCCGCCTCCCCTGCAGCCCCCCTTCTGAAGCTGGAGGGAAGCGCAGTTGCCAGAGAGAGCAGGAAAACTCTGAGCCTCTGGGAAGCCACAGCTTTATCTTCCCTTCTATGGCGTGAGCGGCCGCGGCGTTGAACGCGGCCCAGGCAGTGGGGCGAGGAGGCACCAGGCGGTCGGGATTTGCAGGGTTTGTTCTCGCTGCCGACACGGCTCGCCCTGCAAACGTGGGGTTCCCCGGGATGCTGCCGAGCCCCGGCAGCCCTGCCTGCAAAGGGTCCCCAGGGTGTCCAGCCTGCCCCCCGCACCCATCTCATGCTGACGTGCATCCCCCTGCTATTTAATGTACCCTGTGTCCCGTGCTGGGTTTTGGAGTCCGGTAGCGGGTAGGTGGATGAGACAGTCGGGGCTCTGCAAACCTGGGGGGCATCACGGGAACCTCAAAAGCCCCCCCCCCCAGGTTTTACTGTGACAAAGCAAAGGCTGTGCGGGGGGACCGTCCTGGCACGGCGGGGTCACACAGCCCCCAAGGGTTCTGGATGATCTGAGCCTTGCCAGGAGCGGGATGCTGGTACCTCCTCCAGGAGTGACCCCCAAACCTCACCCGCCCAAACCAACCGCTTCCACTGCATGCGTCCCGCTCGCTCGCGAAGGTGATGCCCAAGGATGGATTGCCCAGGGCTGGTCACCCCTGCTCACCCCCATAGCATGGGCAATGTCCCCAGCGCAGATCCAGGGCACTTTCACCTCTCCCCCATGCCCCAAACCCAGCGGGACGGGGCCTCAGAGCCCCTCGGCCGCTCAAGGAGGAGGATTTGAGACAACTGCACTGAACTCAGAAATGCCTAAAGGGAGCAAGAGGTATGCCAGCATCAGCAGACAAATCTAAATACCTGCCCTGCGGCTCCAAGCCAGGCACCCTTCCTACCTCTAGGAGCAATTAAAATAGTGTCTGGAGCTAATTTTACTCCTAAGCACTCAGTTGTCCTTTGGGATGAGAGCTCCACCACCAAAGCCAAGGTGAAAAACAAAATGTGGCTGAGAACTAACTGAAATATAGAGGCACCTTCCGCTCCCACTTCCAGAGCAGCATGTGGCACCCGCACCCCTGGTATTGCCCAGTGCATTTTGGAGAGCTGGAAGACAGTCCCGTATGCGCTGTGTGCGAAAGGAGAAAGCTGGGAGTTGCTCCAGCTGGAACGGCTTTGGCCCAGGGAAGAAGCAGCCCCAAACATCCCGCAGGTGCAGGTCATCGGCAGCGCTGCTTATCCTGTAGGGTCCCAACATGGAAACCTCTGGCTTTGGCTTTGAGGAGGCTCATGCTAAAAAATACCTTCTAGCTACAAAAAAAAAGTATCCACGTTCTTAGAACTAAGTATTTCTAATGGTCTGAAGCAAAACTGTTTACGGATGGATTAATCGGGATTTCCAGCAGGACCTGAGGCATCTCGAAAGGTGCCAGCGGTGGGCAGCACCCGCGCGGAGGCAGCTGGCACGGTGCGGGCAGCTGGGTCGGCTGCAGCCTCTGCTTCAGCTTTTAGCGTGAGGTGGGGTTTTGTGCTGTATTTTTCTTCCTCTTTTCCTGTTTTACAATTATGTTAAGCAATTAAACCATGCAACATTACTGTCAGCGAACGAAATCACAAAGAGGCAGGAAACGAGCATTTAAATCCCGACCCTGCTCCGGAGGACGAGGTTTTGCTTTGTGGCTGTGGAGAAGGGGGCCAGGATTTGGCCCATGACCCTAAAACCTCCCTGGGACCTGCAGCAAATGCTCGGTGCTGCCAGAGCAATGCTGCACAGGTCCGTGGGACCTGTCTTCGACTCTGCTGCTGTTTTTCCTCCGGCAACGGTTGTGTTATGAGATGGCTATCACCTCTCGTACAGTCAGATCTGTGCCGCAGACCGTATGCAAACCCTTCACGCCGTCGACAGCCCCAAGTTTTGCATCCTGACCTTTCCCTGGCTCCTGCTGCTACATATAGTTCCTATATCTCCAAAATAAATTCACCCCAGCCCTGGAAGGTGGCCAAATCTCAGCCCTGATCTTTTGGGAAGGCATCTTGGCCTCTCTCACGCCGGGAGCATGACCGAAGGGGAAGCAGTGACCACGAGCGGCCAAGTGTGGGTGGATGGAGCTGGAGGGGAAGGGACCCCCGGGGACAGTGCCCGCAGCTCGGGGCCGGGCTCTGGCCATGGCACCTGAGCCCATGCCTCCTTATCGCCCCGCTGCCCGCAGACCGGTGACGGGAAGGACGAGACTGCCAAGCTGCCTCCCCCGGGGCACGCAGCGGTGCCTGGTATGCCATCCACCCACCAAACCCAGCCTGGCACGGGATCCCCAAGGTCACCTCCAACCTGGGATCGGCACCAAAAGCCTCTGCAGCCCCCAGCCCCACAACAGCCCCCAGCCCCCTGACATCCACCCCCTGGGGTTTGAGGACTGCCCCATCCCCAAGCAACCCCAAGGGACCAGCTCTGCAACTCCACCCATCAGCAGCGGGAGGGTGAAGGTCTCCCCCCCGCCTTTTGGTACCCCGGATACGAGAACGTGGGCAGGAGCGGCTCGATGCCCGCCTTTACCCCTTTTTGCCATAAAGGGGATTTTCGGTGCTGCTTTCGGGATTAACTTGCAACTTAGTCACAGCAGCAGGGCCGTTTTATGGGGCACAAATCGCGGTGAGCAGTGCCGCAAGGCTGAGCAGAAGAGCGGGCGAGTGCAGGAAGGGAGGCGTCTGCGGGCGAATGACTCTGAGTTAAATTTCCGCATTTCGGTAAACGTGGGGCTCTCAACACCTGGGGCCTCGGGGGCTGCTGTTTCTCCCTGTCCCATGCCCCTTCTCGTGAGCTCTCAGAGTCACAAACCAGCCCAGAAGCGTCTGATCTTATGACATAGAGAAGAGCGGGGTTTTTTCCGATGATATGGAGAAGCAGCCAAGCCAGCAAGTGCTGTAAATAAAGGCACTTGCTGTGTCCAGGGCTGTGCAAGCTCCGCGCCTGCTCCCCCCACACATCCCAGCAGCGGGTTGTGCTTCGGCCGCATGGTCCCGGGCGGCCGAGCTCTCACAGCTGCCTCTGCAAAGGGCCGCCCGTGTCGGGGGGCATGCCGGCACCGCGGGGCCTTTCCGACTTTCCTCCTGCCCCTGCCACCCTCCAGCGAGCACAACCCACCGACCTCAGCACGTCCGACCTCACAAACAACTCCTGAGGCCGATGGCGGGGTGCTAAGACAGGATGAGCACATCAAAAAATAATAATAATTAGCAGCAGATAATTTCTAGACCTTAACTCGCAGAAGAGCTCTTCAGTGCAGAGCAACGCGCTGCTGGGGGCTCGGAGTGTTCCCCTGCAGAAGTGTTGCCTTCAGCTCAAGGGGGGACCGGGCACAAGGGGGGACCCGACTTTTGGGACAAGGGAGGATGCTGTGGGAAGACGGCAGAGCTCCTAGCTGGGGGAACCCATCCCTGTCCTCTATGGGACCAGCATTTCCAACAGGCTTTGTCACCCCAGATGCTGCACCCCCTTTAGTACGGGCTTCTCTGTGATTTGGGGGAGAGCCCAGAGGGGTGCAGGTGGCTGCCAACTCCCGCTGTGCCCGGTGCCGGCTCCCCCACCCCAATGCCGGTGGGGTCACACGCAGCCGGGGACCCCCGCACTGCCCAGCCCCGCTGCTCCCCAGGGCAGGGGGGGACCCACGCCGGGTGCCCCCAGCACACCTCCTCCCCAGCAGGGCTCCACGCAACCCCCAACCCCAGGCGAACCCCATCTCCATGCGAACCCCGACAACACGCACACTCGGTCCCACGCAAACCCAGACCCCAGGCAAAGCCCCGACCCCAGGCGAGCCCCAAGCCCAGCCCAAGCCCAGCCCAGCCCCGCAAGCCCCCGCAGCCGCTGCCCTG